AATAGAGTAATGTTATTTAGTAATATTGGTATTTAACATGTGTCTAGGTGACAACACTAATGACATTGAATTACAAGTTCAATTAAACACAAGAAATTATGATCCATTTAAAAGGACCTATATTATGCTGACACCTTAAATAATATTTAACATTAATGGTGCTAGAAATCATCATTCTTTTAAATATAATACTTTCCAAATGTCATTTAGGATTTTGAATTAATTTTTAGGTTCAACCAACGCTTGTAATAGCTAAAGATGGCTTGGATTCAATTTTTCTTTATCATAGTCTGATTTTTGGAATTTTTAGAGTGAGAATTGAACCTAACGTATTTGCTTGCTTTAGTATTATATTGAACCACGTCATCTAACTTTCAAACAGTATGATGAATTTGATATAACACTATTTATATCATTAATAATCGTTCTAATGTCCATATCGAAATCATTTTTTTTTTTGTCAAAGACTTGACATCTAAAAATTTCATGTTTAGAAGGCGGTGAAACTTGACCTAAGGGCATTTGTAAATTCATATAATATAGTTAACCACCTCATTTGTAAATTGAAGTCAAAGTTGTTCAAAATTTTCAAATTCGGAACTATTACATACGAATATATTAAGGTCTTGGAAAATTTAAAAAGCATATCTTTCATATACCGTGTTTTTAAAATTACATTTCAAGTAACACGACTCGTGTTCATCACTCAATCGAATGACAAAATGACTAATATAACCAGGCCCATTAAAATTATGCTTTCATGATATTACAACTTTTTTTCTCTTGGACATGTCTTGCNTTTTTTCTCTTGGACATGTCTTGCTTTAATAGTTCTTATTTTGTTATCCTATTTATAAGTCTACATAGTGGAAGCAAAGAATTTTGGAAGTGAGCCAGTTGCCAAAATTGCACTCCCCAATCGAGTGCCATAAGGATTTCATGGAGCTTTTGTGCCAATGGGGACCAAAATGTAATAAATAAATGAAAGTTCTATCAAGGTGTCAAATGTCATTTATGTACACAATTATGCAGTTATCCATATTTTCCCTGCTTTTCGGTTTTTTATTAATGGATATATCTGTATAATTAAACCATTGTAATTTTAGTGTTCTGTCTTTTGTTTGTTAAGCAATAGCTATTTGGCATTAGTTAATTTTTTTCACGCCAACTACTACATAAAGGTGGATATTTTACTAATTATAACTTACTGAAGGAATTAAGTTTTTATGTAATTCAAGATCCAAGAAGGCTACGAATTGAGAAGGTTTTTTCCCCCTGAATTGTGTTATTTACTTTAATTCTAAATAAATGGTGCTCTATTTAATTAGGATCGAGTTGATAGTTTTAGGAGTTTAGGGATCTAGAGCGCAATTTCAATTATGTCTAGTGATTATCATTTTTTCGATATTAGCCTCAAAGTAGATTGGTTTTGATATATGGATTATATGAAAGTTGTGACAAATTTTGATAGATTTTAGATTATTGATTAGCCCTTGTTTGAGTCTTATTTTTCAAAATTTATTTGCAATCATACATTTTTCGATAAAATATTTTTACACGTAAATTAAAAAAAAATTATTTATTTATTTTTTAACCATACATTCTTCAAAAAAATTACTGTTTCAAAATCTATTAACCCAAAAAATGGGGCTCGAATAATCACATTAATGGCCATATTGATAGTTTACCATCACGTCTCAATAGTAATCACTTAAACTCATCTTGCAAAAGAATTTGTACTTGATTTAATAAAATTATAGTTTATGGGCTGAAGGCAATCTTTTTAATCTGGTGTAGTTATCCCCGAGTGTCCCACATCATATAAATAAGTTAATTAAATGAATGATAATTAAACTTATTCTTAATTTATTACTTAATGAACAAAACAACCAATCATTGTTCACATCTATTCAAGATATTATTTATTTTAGAGTGAAATTCATTATTTCCACGTACGATGAAAATCGGACAGGACATCATGATGACAGTTACATTGTAAGTTAATTAAATGAATGCTCATTATCCATTGTTCACCCATCTATTCAACCTATTACTATTCTTGATGAATCGTTTTTTGTTCATTGAGCATATAGTAATCTATGGATAAGTTTAATGAGCATTTATTTAGTTAACCCGACAATTAAACATCATCAAGGTGTCATATTTGAATTTCGTTGGACGTGTGACAATTTTCATCATGTGAGAATAATATATTTCATTCGTAAGAGTAACATGAGTGACAATTTAAATACACGAATGAGCAATATGTAACATTTTTTGTTCAATAATTAGTAACATATGGATAAATTTAATTAGTATTTATTTAATTAACTCCGTATAAAAGTACAAATAAGCCCAAAGAATAGATCCCTTTTTAAGGCCAAAAATGATGCTCTAAACACCAAATTTTCAAACATTATATACAAGCTCCATATAAGCACACAGATGAGGCCAAAGATTGTATCTTTTTTTAAGCTAAAAAATGATACTCTAAAGGCCAAATTTTCAATTTTTTTGCATTTATATACAAGTGTTGTCAGTTTCAAGAAGTAATAGTTTTCTTTAAATTGTTTCTTACATTCGAGAGAGAGGGAGAGGGAGAGAGAGCGAGATGGCCAGTACATTGCAAGTGAATTGCTCCATAGAAAGACCTTCGCTTTCCTACAAATTTGATGATCATTCCAGAGGTTCACTCCCTTCTTCTTTGAGTTTTAAGGTAACAACTCTGCATGTTTCCTTTGTCATATGGACAGGCTCGTTTAGTAAGCCGAACTGCATAATAATGAAGAAGAAAAAAGAAGATATTATATTGTCCAGTCCAATAAATTATAGTTTACGAAACTTTCCTACAAGATATATGTGATTTTGTATATTATGTGATTTTGATCTGGCTATAATCAAGAAACTGATTTTGTTATCCAGCCACTCTTCAGAAAGTTTCAGCAGAATCCCATTTTGGCTAATGTTCCCAATATCATTAAGGAGGCTTCAGTGAGAATAATAGATACATTTGTTGATTTGGCATTTGAATTCGTCGACCAGCCATTGCTCCCATCTCAGGTACTGATGGTACAAATAGAAACACCCCCAACACCACCTCTAAATACACGCACATTTTTGGCGTGGAAGATTGTATAGCACGTAACACTATTAGAGAAGAAAAAAAAAGGTTAAGTGTGTAGCTCTATTCAGTACAGCATACCAAATATGACTTTAAGATTTTGTGTTATATATAGCCTGAATTTCAAAATATGGATGAATACCAAATGTGTTGGTTGCATTTAAGATGACATTTGGTGTTTTCACTATCTGATCTTGTGGACAACAGAGTAATTTTGCTCCTGTAGAAGAACTGGGAGAAGCTATTCGTGTTACCAGCATAGAAGGAAGGATCCCAGGTGATTTCCCGGAGGGCGTTTACATCAGAAATGGTATGCTAATAGTATCGATCTTTGCACAAAAACCAGACAATTTGTTAACTGTCAAAATTTATGTTTGTCGAATTGGATTGTGTACTTTATTACTTGGAGAGCTATGCCTGTATTTACTGTTAAGAACAACGTATTGGTCAGCACAAAGTCAGATTAATTCTTGAAAACTCTAGTTTATGAGCCATTCGGATGCTTGATCAGCCAGGTTCTAAAATGCGTCGTGTCCGTTGTCTTATAAGGTGCACATGTTAAGAAAAAAATCCAAAAATGAAGGAATTCTTTTCAGTGTCTTTTCTCAAATGATATTCTATCTTATTGTGCTAGAAATACCAATTGGAAATTAGAAATAAATAATAAGACGGTTGATAGTTGATTTGTTGGTAGATTATGGAAGCAGTAAAGAGGACAAATAGGTAAATGAAAGAAGTAAAAAGAGTGAAAACATTGTTCATTGTGAGTTTAAAAGAACAATGTCCTTTTCCATTCCCTTATTATTCCAACATTGACCTTTTCTTTTTCCCATGTTGTTTGGTTGATTCACTGAAATAGTACTAAATAATGGATTTCATTCTTAAAAAGTTGCAAATTCAGACCATTTTCTGGCTAAGTTGTTTCAATGAAGAATTGCTAGCTCAATTGTTGCTTTCGTTTTATATGATGTAGTTATTGTCCATGTAGGCCCGAATCCTTTATTTGGAGGATTAAAATCGACAAAATCCGTATTTGGGAAATCAAGCCACATCTGGATAGAAGGTGAAGGAATGCTTCATGCTTTGTATTTTTGTAAGGAACGCAATGGCAGTTGGATCACTTCCTACAACAACAGGTATGTCCAAACCGATACGCTCAAGTTAGAAGAGAAAAGAAAGAAACCAGCATTTCTTCCAGCTGTTGAAGGGGATTCTCATGCTGTGTTGTCAGCTTTTCTACTAAATTTGGTAAGCTGATTCAATCAAAATTTATCGATTTACTCTACTGTGTAACTTCACTGAAATCAGAATAGTTCCCTTCGTTGGTATACTACTAATCAGTGGGAAATCTAATCGGGTTCAGATACTTTTTACTGATTCATGTTAGCACAAGATATATGCACACTCAACGCAACTCTAGCTGCATTTCTGATTTTGGCAGTTAAGATTTGGCTCCGTGGATAAATATCTTAGCAATACAAATGTTTTTGAGCATTCTGGGAAGTTCTACTCAATTTCTGAGAATTACATTCCTCAAGAGATTGACATTCGTACACTAGAAACTCTCGGAAATTGGCACCTCAATAAAGCTTGGAGTAGGCCATTCACCAGCCATCCTAAGGTAGTTCCTTGAACCTGTAAAAGGCTCGAAAAATCCAAGATTTAACCTATTCAATTCGTTTTTCAACAATGGTTTTTGACATTTTAAGTGAAACAGAAAGCTCCAGACACCGGAGAACTTGTGATTATGGGGATCACTCCAAGAAAGCCTTACTTTGAACTCGGAGTTATTTCAGGTATAGAAATGCAACATAAAGCTCCTTTATATATAAGTAAATATGATAATTTTAAATATTGTAGTTTATTCTTTCAGCTGATGGAAATAAATTAATTCACAAAGCCGATCTCAAATTAAATAGGTGTTGCCTTAGCCATGAACTAGGAGTTACGAAAAGGTAGTCTGTTTATTTTAAGGCATTCACTGTGGTGTTTGATCTAAGAATACATTGGATTTTTTCTATTAATGCATCCTCTTTTTCAGGTATAATGTGATCATGGATTTTCCTGTAACTGTAGACATAGATCGACTCATAAGTGGAGGATCGTAAGTGTTTTTCATGTTTAATTTTAAGAAACCCTCATTCATATATAGCTCATTTAAGATCATACTTACATAGAAGAAATACTTAATTTGAAGCTGTGTAATTTGTGGACATAGGTTAATCAAGCACGATAAAGGAGGACGTGCAAGGATTGGAATAATGCCCCGTTATGGTGATGCAGATTCCGTCCAGTGGTTTGAAGTTGAATCAAGCTGTACATTTCACATTATTAACTGTTACGAGGATGGCAATGAGGTAATCGGCAGTATTTTTTGATGTCTTGCCAATGAATCCTCCAGGAAAAAAATTATTGTATGGTGACCAATCGACATTTTTCTATATGTTTGGATGGGAGGAACAGGTGGTCGTGTTGGCATGTCGAGCCCATGGTTCAGTCATACCAGGACCTGATTATGGCTTAAACAAATTTGAGTGGTTTTCTAAAGGGTTTGAGCATATAGTTTCTGTTGAAGAAATTGATGAAAAATCACAAGAAGGATCATTTTTCTCTCGTGCATATGAATGGAGATTGAATATACATACCGGAGAGGTGGAAGAGAGAAATCTCACTGGAACCGAATATTCTATGGATTTTCCGTTCATGAACGAAAAGTTTGTTGGTCTTGATACTAAGTTTGGGTACACACAAGTGGTCGATTCAAATTCAAGCTCCATATCAGGTAAAATTACATTTTCCTCTAAAAAGTTGTCGTAACTTGTAATGGATAGTAAACGTTTCCCACAGGCATGGCAAAATATGGAGGGCTAGCCAAACTTTACTTCAAGGAAAGGAAACTCGAACTTCTCCTGGTAAACTTCCCTTCTATAATCTCCTAGTGTATGTTGGACTTTGTCGAGCCTAATTATCTGTTGACTTATCCCCTTCATGGCGGATTAACCTATTTTCCTATGTTATATAAAGGGATTTGAGGGGAACGTCTTCTGTGTGTCTTTGTTCCCGTCTCGCTGGTCTCCTTAGAAATCAATTTTTTTGAACCAGGATAAGAGACAATTCGAAGAAGAGTTGATAAAGATCGAATATCATAAGTTTCCACAGAATACATTTTGCACCGGAGCTGCCTTTGTGGCAAAACCCGGGAGTCCTGAAGAAGATGGTGGATGGATCATTACATATGTACACAATGAAGACAGTAATATATCTCAAGTAAGTTGTCTTACCATAGTTTGAATGTTTAAGGTGTTATATTTGATTAGTTGATGGTAAAATAACATGTATATTTCTTGGCTATAGGTTTATATAGTTGACGCACAGAAACTTTCAGACGGGCCAGTCGCCAAGATTACACTACCAAGTAGAGTCCCATATGGATTCCATGGAGCTTTCATGCCAATACGTTAAACCTACAAATTCATTTGGATCTGTTACTGTTAATATTGTCTGGATTTTGATCCCAAGTCGTACAAATATTTGATTTAGCATTCTAGCTGCTACATTGTCGAACATATTATGGCTATGCTTAAAAGTAACTTCCTTTTGAAAGTATTGAAAGCTGATACAAGTTGCCTCGTGTAACAAGCATTATTGAGTTTACCAAGGAAAGCATAACTAGAGATCGACGGTACTTCCACTAAATGAAGTTCTTTTGTAATAAGTGGAAATTAAGTATATTTTTTTTTCTTTTGATTGAGAGTAGTTTACAATGAGGGTGAGAGAAAATAAATGCCTGTAAATGTGTAAACAGTTGTTGCACATGAATGAAATAATATGGCGACACTTGTGAAACTCTTCCAAAAGAGATCAAACATTCTTAAAGGAGTAGTTGCTCTAGGAATTGAATTTTGGGAAAATTTCATGTGAGACATAAGTATGGCCCATTTCATATCTAAGAATCAAGGTTTATTATTTCAAAAATCAGTTATTAATTAAATTTTATTTATTAAATAATTAATTAAAAAATATTTTATTAATTAAATATATTAAGGTCACGATATTATAAAATTTATGGTCACAGTTATATATTAGTCACAATTACAAATGTTACAGTCACAAATTACAAATTTTATAGGTTAACTTATTTCTCAGTCAAAACTATATCAAATTAATAGGTCACATATTATGC